TGGCCTAAGAGGTAAAAAAGTATAGTTTTAACTAAAGCATTTTAACATTATAAGCATGATTATTCATCTTTACTGCTTTTCAGTGCACTGCCTAACATGCAGGTTAAGTGCTGTATTTTGGTATGTTTTTTAGACATTGTAAAGGGGTCCTGCAACAGTTCTTCAGCATGGTCAGAAGGTGCTGTCAATTGGTACTTGAGGCTACCAGTAACACAAATGAAGCATTACGGCACGGACATTGCCTGGAACTTGTGTTTAATTCCCAAAGTTCATTTGTTCAGAGAAATCGTTTCCTCTTCTCTGAACAAATGATGCTCGACATAAACCTAAATGACTGTACCCAAAGTACACGGCCATTGGCTGATTTGAGCATTATGAGCTGTGAAGTTACCATAGCCACCGCAAGGTACTGCCACATGCCTACGCATGCATTCGCAATCACGCTGAAAGAAAGGTGCGTGTTCGAAGAAAAACACCCAAGTGCTCAAGGTCATGACACATGCTGCTGAAGAGATGCATCTTCTTGCCCTTGTGTTGTTAAGCTTCAGCGTGCCTGCTAGTGAGAACAGAAGGAGAAATAACTAGACATGTGCGACAAATCTCTGTAACTGCACCCATACTTGGTGGATTCGTAAAACATTTTACGGCAGTTTATTCATAAGGTAATAAGCTGTTTTGAAGTCAATAAATGATTATTAAGAAAAGTGGTGTAGGACCTCTTTAAAACTCTGCATTTTCAAGTTAATATATTGCTGCAGGTAGTCTTCACATTTTAAGTGATCATTTTTATTGAGCCTAGTGGTTTTATTTCATTTTCAAATTCACTAATTTTTCTGATCATGCAACTTGTTATTGAAAACTAAAGATGTTTTGAATACACTGAATAATAAAACTTTATGAAGGTGTCATACATGGTACAATGCCATAGGGCAATGTATAATACAAATACAATACAAATAAAAAAACCACCATGAGTATGCATTCATATTGGTAAACTCATCCAGATCATCCACCACTGTGACCACCACGCAACGACTTCAAAGAAACCTGGCTGTGGCATTCACATCCTGTTTTTGTTGCAGTGGTGTGTGTACACGACCTTGATTGGCAGGCCGCTTGCAACAGTGCACTTGTTGGCTCGCAGCTGCAACCCCTTTGATTGGTGTCTTAGCTGTGCTAAATCTGCTTTCACTGGCCCTTTACAGTTGACATTTCATACCAGAGAAAACTTCTGTGTACGTTTTTCTTTTTTCTTTGTGCTCAGGCTGAAAATATTCAAACCCATGTGGGAAGAGGGAGCATGTGAAGTTTCATTTTAAAAATCATTTTGTTTATAATGAACCTTATGAATAAGTTCCACAGAACTGCATATTCTGGTAGTTCGAAAATTGTACACTACTTTTCTAACCAAGCATCATGAACACACTTCTATTTGCAATGCTTTCTTTAAAATATGGGGCACTTAAAATACCCAAAATCTAAAATTTATACGTTGTTCATTTCCAGAGGTGGTGACATACCTTTTAATGTCTTCTTTAGGCAAAGCTCCTGGACACAAAGCTTACTATTGCAGCTTTTGTTACGAGACTGAACAGTAAAATATTTGCACTCTCCTTTGGGTTTATCAATGAACGAGTGGAACACCCTTCCACACAACATTGCGAATATTGAAGAAATAAATGCTTTCCAGTCAGCCCTACTATCTCACCTTAGTGAGCAGTCCTGCCATACTAGTTGAATTGTTAGATTCCAAGTTTGCGTTTATTCTATGTATATTTTTTGCTAGATTGTACTCTCACATATATTCATTGATTGCTTGTTTTACTCTACTGAACCTTGTATTACTGAACTGAGTTTGCCCCCTTTTTTACATTGTGTTTGTATTATGTTTGCTTGTTATTGCATTTTTTTGTGTGCTTGTTTCTTTTTTATTTGGTTTTCTTAATCCATTGTATTATGTATTGTATTCCCCCCCCCCCCCTATGTATTGCCCGTTCTCTGGCGCTTGAGGTCAATAAATGAAATGAACTAGTGGGACTAATAGTCTTGCAAGTTGTATAACATGACATGACATTTACAAGGTAGCCATGAGTTTTCTTCAGTGGCCATGCTATGTATTGTATGAGCTGCAACACATATAGGCATTTGTTTCTCTTTTTACCCATATATACAATGTTTGTTTTTGAAAACTCTCAAGGGTGTCGAACTTTCAGTGAGCTTCAAACATGCATTTTTGAATGGGATAATAACTTGTAATAACATCTTTGTCACTAACCATGTGTAAACGTTGCTAAGTCTCATGACTGTACTTTCTATTTTGTATCATTATTATACATATTTTTCCCCCTGGGTGTTATAAGCCCAAGCATTAATTTTATTTGAATGTGCATACATACCATGTGTATATAACAGGGACTTGTGCATCATGTTTGCCTGTCTGTTTGAGGAGGAATTTCGAAATGTGCTTTTGCACAGAGTGTGTTATAAGCTTTGTGTGGCGTCTAGTCTCTACTATGAGTGCAGTCATGTTTTAACTGCTCACAGCTGCATTATTGTCAGCTGCATTTGTGAACAGGTGCAGTGGATGGAAAATTTTGACTGTAGTGTTAAGTCAACTTAATGTGCACTATGTAACGAATTATACCATGTGCATTGGCTTGAATAAGAGTGAACGTGTATATCATTCCAGCTTAAATGAAGCCTTCCTTATGTTGGGTAATTCTTGATAAAGTTTTGTTTACCATTGCCACAAAAAGAGAAGTCATAAATTATAACCCATTGCATAAAAAAAAACATACAGTTATGCGATATACTGTGAAGGGCCCCTCACCAACCCCCATTGCAAATTCCGGTTCCTCATTGGGAGCAATGAGGCACCATGTGGGGACTGTTTCACCTACAGCATTTGTCTTATTTGTTTCTTTTTCGAAAAGCTGGAAGAAATTAAACTGACCTGTTATCACACGTTCGAGGAGAAGACGCTCTTTTTCTTTGCCTTGAGTAGTGTTGGCAATCGGGATTTCTTTCCTGCCTTCTACACTGGAGCTGAGGGACCAGGTGACATCCATGGTACAAGTCCCACCTCATTCTTTTTCTTTGTTCTATGCCACGTTTGAAGCGAGTCGCAATGCACTTTCTGCTTTGGCTGATTGACTGAAGTCAAATGCCATGGTCAGTAATACTGCATCTTATATAAAACAATTTGTTTGTGTGATCTTTGCTCTTGTTTTAAGCATACCTCTCTCGAAAGGAAATGTGTATGGCCTTTTGTTAAACATTTCAAACTTTTTCATGCCATACTGCCAGTTCACACTTAGCAATGATTGCCACCAATGGTCTAAGTGCCAAATCTTTTTTGCAATGTGTGGTGAGGGGCCTTTCAATGGAGCCTAGTTGGTAAACAAGACAAGGTTAGCCATACACTTTTCTGTTGTATTTAGTTTTCCTGCTCGTGATAGTCGTGATATGGTATCTGTCATTATGTAACTCAAATTAAACTCAAGAGGTGCGAAAGAATGTCTAAGATACATTCCTGAAAATTAAAGCAACTGTGCTTACACTAATTGTAAGTGGTGTAAAACTTCTTGAAGTTTTCAGAACATTTTCATACTTTTTTTCTATTCCAAATCACCATGATACCAATAGTCACAATTAATTTATATTTTGATTAATTAAGAAAGAGCCTTTCATTTGATCACAAAGAATTTTTTGGGCTACCCAAAGTGGGACTTGAACTTGATACTATAAGCATTAGACCATCGTCGCTTGGTTGAAATGTGTGTAGTGACGTAATGTTGTGCATCTCATTGCAAGTACAGCAATGCAATATAGACTCATCACTTTTTGTGTACAATGTGAGGCGATCCTAGGGTTGCGTGTGCTTGAAAAACGTGCAATTGGAGAATGGCAGTTGCCGAATTTTTTTTAATCTCCGAAAAAATAAACCTTGGGCATCTTACGAAATATGTAGTGCAAATGAGGCACACAAGACAGAAAAGAGACTTGTTTCACCTGTAGAATTCACACTCCAAATTGTGCAATGCAATACCAGGTTGTCTATCAACCTCTTTTTTCTGATGCACGTATGTGTTTACATGTGACAAGAAATGACAGGAATTAAGTGACCTCTGCACATATTTATCAGAAGAATGGCATCAAACTTCTTCATGTGTGTAAACATGTACAACAGGGCATACGCGTTGCCTTTGAAGGTCAGAATCGCATGTCATTGTTTATTTTGCACCTTCCAAGTGGCCACATAATTGCATTCTATTTGTGAATAATATTTTGATAAGCATGGATGAATGCACAAGTTTTAGTCGGTATGGAGAATCGGGTCAAAAGAGCATTTCAGAAAAATTTTAACGTTGCAAAACACTTTGACGAAATTTGAAACATAAACAATTTACAAAGAAATAGTCATGGTTAAAAACAGTTGATGAAAAGAATATGGCTAGTTAACCCTGATGCATTTCTTGTGACATAGTTACTAGCATAAAAAATCGAACATAAGGAACAAGACGGAGTGCTAGACTAGCACTAATATGGAACAAAAGTGCATTCATTCGTGCATCTGTTTTCATATTTATTTAGAATATGGTGGATTCTTTTGACGCCTTCTGTATAAAAATTTTTAATTGAATTATAGAGCTCTGTCCTGTGTCAGCTTCTTTTTTTTCTTGTTTGGTTTTTTATGCTGGTAACTATGTTGTTAGTTAAAAACATTTTTATACACTTGTGAAATATATATCTTACACAACTTGTAAAAACTTCTTGCCACCAATGCTTCTTCGACATGTCATAATACCGTATTTACTCGCGTAATCCTCGCACTCGCATAATTCTCGCTCCCCCCACACCGCCCAACAAAAATATTTCTTTTTTTCCTCGAGTAATTATCGCACACCCAAAAACTGCCGCAATAATGTCGTCTGCTCATTCAAATCATTGATGATGATAGCACACACTATCTGGCGCCATCTCTTATGCATCAAGGGTTCTATTATTGCACGGAGATTCAATCCAAGCCAAGCCAAAGTGGCCAGTGCGAGTTGTGGCGTGTTTTGTATAGTGTGTCGGTAATCTTGTCACGTTATGAGGCGATACCGAAGCTACACGGCTCATTTCAAGCTGAAAGTGATAGATTGTGCACTAAACAACGGCAACAGGGCCTCCGGTAGGCCCTTCGGAGTCTACGAGTTTTGTGTTCGCTACTGGTGACGGCAGCTGAAAGCCACCAAGACCCGTTGGGCCTTCCGTGTGCTTAAAACTGGTATTGATGGTCAACTTTATTTCTTCTGAAGAAAACTGCAGACGATTTTGTTAAATAGCCATTAATCCAATACTGACGTTCTAGGCTTACCTTTTGAGGGCTCCTGTTGAGCGACAAACGTTACCGCTACGCCCGCAACGCCCACAAGCTTTGCGTTCGGTATTTTAATTCTCGACTATTTCCTTGCACTTTTTGTGTCTCAAATAAAACTTGCCTTGTGTTGAACCTGTGCTTTTATTGTTGAGGTAAGTTTTAATTAGTGCTTCTCAAAGCTTGCTGTTAGTTGCTGGTGTGAGAATCCTGATTTGCGACGACTTTCCCCGTAAGTTTTCCTCGCGTAATTCTCGAACCCCCCAACTTTGCATCGGTTTTCCGTCAAAAAAAAAGTGCGAGGATTATGCGAGTAAATACGGTATATCGAAACCTCTATACACCACTGCAGACATTTTAAAGTTTTCCAGAAGTTTTGTGCTGCGTGGGTGGTTCACTTTTGTTGATGCTGTACTTTTGTTTGGTTATAGAAGTATCGGTCAAATCGACATTTTTTTTTTTACTTTCTGGCCGTAAAGATTTTACTGATAAAAAATAAGTCGTAAGGGATACAATACATTGCCTTGCTATTGTGCTGGATGATCTTTTTTATGACAAGTGGTTAAACAGAACAGTTGTAAGTGAAATTCATGTCTGTTCTATACCGTCATTTTTGGATAATTCTGAAGAATAAATGTCATGATGCACATAATCTTGCAACCTTTACAACCAGAAAGCAAGCGTTTTCCATTTGTACATTGCTGTGGATGTTAGATGTTTGTGGTATCACCATCCTCGGCACTGTACTTTTTTTTTTTTGACAGTACTTGTATTTTGTCATAGGTGGAAAATTTTTATTACCATTTTGTGAATCTTGTACACCTGCTGAACAGTTACTCAGATTTGTACCACCTGGTTTTTGTTGACATCGGTGGCACCTACAATACTAATTGCAGTTATCTGCATGAATTTCTTATGTGTTGTTGGTTTGTTAAAAACCTAGAAATAAAAGAATAAAAATTCATGCCTTATTTTGCTGTCAGTATGCCTCCTCCTCTGAAAAATAAGTAATAAGCAAAGTTATATGTATTGTAATTGGTTACTACCAGCTAATTCCAATATTTTGGCACTTTTATTTTTGTACTTTATAACACTCACTGTAATTCATTTATACTTTTTTTGCTAATTTAGTATATGTATAGCCAATTACTCTAGTCACTAGGAGCTGAAACAAGAAATGCAAATGTGACTGATTGAATTTAGATAGAGCGAGAACTGTATAACATCTGCAGCTGTGCCACGAGTGGCCTCACAGGCGGCTGCATTTCCGATGGAAGCGGAAATGTTGTAGGCTCGTGTGCTCAGATTTGGGTGCACGTTAAAGAACCCCAGGTGGTCAAAATTTCCGGAGCCCTCCACTACGGCGTCTCTCATAATCATATGGTGGTTTTGGAATGTTAAACCCCACATATCAATCAATCAATCAACGAGTGGCCTCGCAGTTCCAAATGTTTGGATGGGTAAACATAGGCGCTCGGTATTTGTTTCTTCATGCTCTACCAGAGGTTCTTCAACTGACTGAACTAGCATTACCATGGCTAAGTAATAATGCCCATTTCACACCAGTATGCGTTTCCAACTTTAATTGCAGGCATGTCATAGCCATGTGAAGGCCGCTCAATGAAAAACACACGGTGTGGCCTGATGCGTGGAGCGGATACTGAATGGCCATGGCCTCCGAGATGGTGGCCGAGCGGCGGGTTTTTCTCCAGCCGTCCCAATTGCACGGAGAGAGCTTGCTCCTAGAGGTGGGCATGGCCCACTCTTTTCTCCGCACCGCGTCGCTCTTACGCATGGTAGAAAAGGCTGTAGCGCTGTTGGGAAAGCTTGCATGTGGCGAGAAAAAATGGTTTTGCGCTTTTATATAACTTCGCGCTCAATTGGGAGTGTCGGGTCAAAGTGTACGAGAGACAAGGACAATGTTTGGGCATGTATATTCTCAAATGGGCTTTTGGTGCAGTAGATTTGCGCCGCCCATATTAGAGCTCTTATAATTGCAATGCCTCAGCAAGAGGACCCATGTGCTGGAAACTTGCTGTACTTCGAAGTTTGTAGGCTGTATAGTATGGAGGGTACTGCTGAAGAAAAAAAAATGTCCTGATAAACACGCGAAGTCAGAAGAGTGCCGCGTTCTATGCTCACCGATTACACTCGATTAAAAGGGTTGCTTGCTGCTTTTTATTGTATTGCTGTATCAACAATCCTTCCGTCGCGCTGCAGAAGAAGGATACAGGTAGGAGGGTGTAGGCGACTGGCGTGCGTGCAGACTACGTCTATCTAGACTGAATGTCGCCAGTTCGCGCCGCCGTCTTGCTTATAAAAAACAAAACAAGCTGGAAGCACGTTTAGATCATGTGACCGCTTACAGCCAATAGCGGCGGCTCATTTTTTCTATACATCTTTTGAAATATGATCGTTTGAAACACACCGCTGGGATGATTAGATGGATCGATGAATGTATCCTGCTGTGCCCTTAAGATCGGGTGGTGGCTCACGCCACCTAGCCATAAAGTTAGGTACTATCACTATGTGTTTAAGGATTTAATTTCACTCACGCCTTCATTGTAGCCACCAATCAGTTAGCCTCCTCTTGGTTATTTCTACCTGTTTAAAGTCTGTTTTGCCTTCACTCTTCCTAAACCCCAATGCTTTAAAAAATTCTGTGCCATTATTTTGGACTATAGGGTGGAGCCCTTTAGAGAACATTATCAAATGCTCAGCAGTTTCCTCCTTCTCTCAACATGCACTATATACCGTGTCTGTGCCTTCGTATTTGGCTCGATACGTCTTAATCCGCAATACTCCCATTCTGACCTCGAATAGCAGAGAACTACCCCAGAATTATTGTAGATCTTTTCTTTTGCAATTTTCTGCTTAAAAGTTCAGTAGGTCTCCAGTAATGATTTTGTAAGCAGCACAATATTCCACATGTCCCTCTCTGTTTCCTTCACCTTCTTCTTAGCTAATGTTTCCTTTTGGCTTGGTATTTTGCTGTTGTCTAAATACTTGCTTGACAATTTGAGTTCACTTTCTCTACTCAGTATCAACATCCTTCATGTACAAGTAGCTCAAAACTTTCCTAGCCCAATGCTTCTTTCCCATTTTTCTCAATCGTTCCTCAAATTCTATCTTGCTGCTAGCTTCCTTGCACTGAAACGATGTCCATCCCATGTCAACATATACTCCCTGATTTGGGATATTACCATGTGCTCCCAATTCAAGCAAGTCTACCTATGCCACTTTAATTTCCAATCTTGCTTAAACCTCTGATTTAATGCACCAGACCGCATTGCCGAATGTCAAACTTGGGACCATGACACCTTTACAAATCCCTCTCACAATGTCATACCTATTGTAGTTTCACAGTACCCTATTTCTCATTACAGCTGCATTCCTGTTACCCTTAATGATTACGTATCTTTCGTGCTCCATTAGGTGCTCAGCCCCGCTAGTTATCCATACGCCCAAATATTTGTATTTATCCACTATTTCTAGCTGACTTCCTATATTTTATGCTCACTGCCTTTGTTATCATTAAAAAATCATGATTTCAGATTTTTTCCTATTGAACTTCAAGTTTAACCTATCTCCCTTCATTACCACAGATGTCTATCAATCCCTGCAGGTCTTCCTTGTTGTTGGCTATCAATACTATATCATCTGTATACATCAATGCTGGTAATGACTGTTCAATGTGTTTTCCTTGCTTGGCAAAAGAGAGGCTGAAGCCAAACCGACTCCCCTCTAATTTGGCATCTAGTTCTTGTAGATACAGCATAAGTAACAAAGGTGACAAGAGACATCCTTTTCCACGCCCACATTGTATCTTTATAGAATCAGATACCTGTTCTTCCCATTTTAAATCTACCTTGTTACTTTTATAGATATTCCTTAGTTGTTACTTTTATAGATATTCCTTAGTTGTTACCTTTATAGATATCCTTTAGAAGATCGGTTATTCCATCTTCCACATCTAGTGTGTCCAGTATTCCCCACAAGTCTTCTTGAATCACACTACAGTAAGCTCCCTTAATATCTAGAAATGGCAGCCACAAGGGCCTGTGTTCTTTTTTCGCTATTTCAATACACTGCAACAATGAAAAGAGATTGTCCACCAACCTCCTTCGTTTACGGAACCCATTTTGTAGTTCTCCCAGCCCCCCCCCCCCCCCTCATTCTCCACCCATGTCTATAGTCTTTACTATCTGCATCACCAGCCTGTAAACTAATGATGCCACTGTTATAGGACAGTAGTTCTTTATATTGGCTTTGTCCCCTTTTCCTTCATAGATCATGCTCATCCTGCTTAGTTTCTACCAATTGGGGGCTTCACCATTCATTATTTCTTTGCTCGTTGTCTCTTTTGATGTTTGCTTAGAGTTTGGTCCTAGTTTCTTTATTAGCATAATTGGGATGTCGTCATGACCTGTTGATGTGCTGAACTCTTTTCTCTGCCCTTTCCCACTCTAGTTGTCCCAGTGGAGCCACTGCACTAATTGGTCCACCCTCACCTGGTACGGTGCATGCAGCGCTTACTTGGTGTTCAAATTTTTCTGTCATCATTGTTCTTATATATTCCATTGCCTCGCCCCTTCAAGTCTAACCCCTTGTACTATAGTTATAAACCTCTGTTCCATGCTTGTCTTATTACTCAGGGAATTGAGATGGTTCCAAAACTTTGCAGCTACTTTTCTATCCTTTTTGTTTTACTTCCGCCATTCATTGGGCCCCCTTTCCTCTAATCTTTTTCACTGATCAGGTCGGACGCTTCCCTTCTGCAGCTCAAAAAATTTCACAGTATATCCACGGAGTGAATGATAATGAGAGGAGCAAATCGCTGGTGGGTTTCATCGCTAAACCGTGAATCATCCGCGAATATCGCCCATTACATCATCAAAGATGTCACAAACACCGTATACGTTTATACAAAAAATTTTATTATTCGTAAGTGGTAGCTATACCTCGCTTCCGTTCCCCCTTCATTACAACAGCTTTATGGTCGGTGAAGTGGTGGATCGGTGATGGCATGTAGGAGGATCTTTGCAAGGACGAAGTAGTGGGCAGTTTGCAAAGATAGAACTATAGGCGGTCACGTACAAACAAGGGATGGACACAGTGGGACAATTTATGGTTCTTTTAATGCGCACCTCCACGGATACACTTACACGACCATCTTGCATTTCATATTAGCTATTTGTCATCAGTATTTGCTTTATGGTTGGTGAAGTGGTGGATCGGTGATGCGTTGTAGTGAGATGTTTGCAAGGGCAAAGTAGTGGGCAGTTTGCAAAGGAGGAACTATAGGCGGTCACATACATACAAGACCCACACTCACTCTCTGGATTTCATGTCGATCGGTTGTGCCTCCACGATCTCTGACAACAGCGCAACTCTGGCTGACTGGGCTCGCCCTACGCCATCTCCCGACGCCGACAAGAGCTCTCGCCGAGTGGGGCCCCGTCCTCGGACTCCTGCGACCTTGTCCATCTTTCCTATCTCCGCCTTACTTCCGTCATTTTCTGTCTGTCACTGTCCCTGCGCCTCGCTCTCTCCTTTCACTCTATCTTTTTACCGTTTTATCCTATCCTTTTAATTCTATCCTTTTAATCCCTCCTTTACCCCCTCCCCTCATGAGCTACTGTTGAGGTGTCCTCCCCCTGAGAGACAGTTACGGGGCTCACTTTTCTCTTGTTTTCATTTAAAATCACTCAATCACTCACACGCCTTTAGAAGCTTCGCCCCTAAAAGTTATCCCATTTTCTTTTGACAACATTTTCCAGTTCACCTCTCTGTTTAGCATACCTGTGTTCCCTGGAGGCATCCTAAAGTCTTACTATGGCTCTTTTATCTTCCTCATCACACCAGCTCTTGGGTTTGTGTCTCCTTTTTTGGGGTGACTTGTCATGTGCCTTAGCGAGCTCTAGCTCAGTCTAATTGGATTCGTGTACGTCCACACTGGTTTATTATCCTCAGTGATTAATTTCTCAATTTGTTTAGTAGCTATTTTTATTTGCCTTTCTGAATAAAAGTTACACTGCAGTTTCCCATCTTGTCTCTTTCCCACTTTCATTGCTCTTCCAAAACTTAGTTTGGTGCGTTTGTGATTGCTACCCAGACTTATGGAGCCACATTCATCTATGTGCATTCCCCTGAGCCTATCATACATCCTATGCGACATCATTGCATAATCTATCGTCGACTGCAGCTTTCTCACCTCCCATGTTATCTGCCCTTCACATTTCTCGGTACTGTTGCTAATGATTAAATCATGCCTTTTACACATATCCATTAGCATTCTGCCTGCTGGGTGAGTGTATCCATCCATATCTTCTATGTGCACATTCATATTTCCTGATATAATTACCTCGCACTCTTCTCCTAGTTCGTCAATGTCATTTTCTATACACTGCACCATTTCTTGGTTTTCCTCTCTGGCTGTTGCCCCTGTCCACAAGTATACAAAACCCAGGAGTGGCATCTTCCCTGCCACTTTCCCTTTTAGCCCTAAATGTTCTCTGCACTCCTAGTTTACCCTTTGCCAGTCTGTACTTTAATGAATGAATGCCCCAATACCACCCCCCTTTCAAGCAGCCTTCCGTTCTATTACAATATTCCCATGCATAGTCCGGATTGCTACGTGGTTGTTTAATGTCCCTAAGATGTGTTTCTACAAACCCATATACCATCAGCTTCTCCTCCCTTAGCTGTCCTTCTATCTCTCCCCACTACATCTTATTCCTGCCATATTTTTAGTATACCCTACGTCTGAATTAGCTCGGCCCTCGTGCCTACGTCGATTTCTCCCCCGGACTCTACGTGTCTTAGATATTGGTGCCACTTTGGAGTAGTATCTGCCGATACCACCTGTCAAGCAGTCTTTCTGGTTGTTTTCCTCATTACTAGCTATCCTGGACGCCGAAGGGCCCGCGTGTCCCCCAAAAAAGCTACTGCGCATCCTGCAAGTCGCCAACCCACCTCATGACCTAGCCTGCTATCGAAGTGAATTCTGTCTTGTTAAAAACCACCCCACCTATGCACCTCTTTGTTTATTTCCACTACCTCAGAGCCTTTCTCTCGACTCATCTGCCATATCTCTTCGTTTGCGTCGACAACCGCTCTTTGCAGGTTGCTGTCACGTACCGGTACCTCCGGTATCGTGCATATCACTGCCTGT